GCTTAGTGCTTAAGAGGTCTTCAAAATTGTACCATTGTTAGTTTGGGTCAGATTAAAAATTGAATACTTGAGACCATGCCATGACTGTAGGAACCTGTTACTATGTTTTTGCTGAGGATGTTACAGTGAATCTGTGAAGGAGACAGAGGGAGCAGGGGAGATGGAGTCACAAGAGCATCGGGCAACACCTGCCAACTGGCTGAAGAGCCACACTGGGCAGGACTGCAGGCCGCCACCTCTGACACAGGCCAGGACTAGGTGACCAACCTCTGTCACAAAGTGCTGGTAAGTAGTTTATTTAGAAATGGCTATGAATACTACTCTTATGAATAAGCACAAATAATCACATTGCTGATTAGTTGTATAAAACTTAACATCACTGTATTTCCTTTTTAAAAAATTTCTTCTTAAATAAACCAGACCAAGATAATCACTATATGGTAAGACTATTAGCTCGCTAATCCATAGAAAGAATATTTTCAGTGCATTTGTTGGTGAGTCCAAACAGCCTGTCAGAACTCTGACCCAAGCTCAATGCAGAGAAGGGCTCAGTACAATCTACTTCTAAGGAAGAAGAGATGTGTCGTCTCTGGCTTACACCATCATGGCCCAAATCATGAGGTTCTGAAAGATATTCAGGTATAAAGTGTTTGTAAATCATAGTGGGTTTTTTGGTGGAATATTATGATCATTTAATTTTAAAATCTATCCTAAAATAGGTTTTATTGGCAGAAAACAACTAGAAGGTATGTAAAAGGAAAAAACCACTGGAGTCTTTGGGGGAAAAAACAGTTGTCAAACTATGCATGATAGGCTGTTTCTGCTAATATCAATTCTTGTTTCATTGGTTTTGCTATCTGATTGCAAGAACACTTGGTATAGTTTACTAAGTGGAAAAGTTCAATAATCTAAGAACTTTGTACATTGAAATGCATGTATTCATAATTGACCATAACACTTCAAAATACGTTCCCTCGTGATAATTTTTAATAGTTAGCTTCTAAAATGTCTTTGAGCATTTTCTTGAAATAAATGGTAATAAAAATGATGAGTAAATAAATCTTACCTTGTCCAATCTACTTGTAAAACAGTTCTTGAATGACAGGCAAACTGGAGAAGATTTAGAATAGAGAAGCAGACGGCAGTGGTCGAAATGAGAGATGACAAACACATTTCAGTAAATTAGTTGTAGGAAGGAAAGGAAAAGCCAGAGTTTAGAAATATGATAAAGGACGAAACAGTAAAATTTGAAGTTGAGAAGATAAGAGTGAGGAATGAAAGAAAACTTCAAAATAACAACCGTATAAGCAATTTATGATGTTTTTCAGGTGATAATATAAATGGAAGAAACTTTCTATAGAAAAACATTTACTGTAAGAGCCACCCACAATTTCTTGAACAAAAACCACTTATTGGAAAAAGGAAACACAAATGCAAGTTGATTAAGCAATAGAATAAAACCACTTCAGAAATGTATTTAACTACATGATCCCAGACATTTTCCAAAGCTCAATGCAATGTGTTCTTTAAAAATTGGTACAGTGTTATATCATTAATTCTATGTCTAATAATCTACTGGTGTGTTACTCATTTTATCTAAAATGGATTAATATTCATAAGTACCTGGAAAAGGGTCTGGCACATATTTAGTGCTATGTAAATATTTGTTAAAGAAAATCTTTGATCATCTGTCAAAAATTGAGTATTAAGATCAAATCTGACTGGTTGAATATACAGTCCTTGTTGGTCTTATGAGTAAAATCTTTTATTCTCTGTGTCCTACTAAATATAGCAAAAAATCCTTTCTGGCAAACAAAGCCATTCATATTCTAGCTCATGCCTACCTTTCCAGCTTTGGTAAAAGACGGCCCCCAATGAGACACAGTGTCCTTGCTCTCACATAGTGTAGTCACTCCCACTCCAGTCATCAGCCTCTAACCCCAAATCTGGGCTACCCTGTGATTCACTTTGAACCACATAATGTGGTGTGACACTCCGCCAGTTCTAAGTCTCAACCTGAAGAAGTCTGGCAGCTTTCAGTTTGGGGATCCATGCAAAGAAATCAGCTACATGGTATCACCACATGGGGAAGGAGGAGAAGGAGAGAGTGAAGTAGACCAAAAGCTCACAACAGTAAAACAGGGGAGCGCATGCCTCTTGAAAAGGGCAGCCACTATTTCGACACAACTGACAGCTACCACTTTTCATAAGAACCTAGAAATCTGAATTTTTATGATATCTGATCAATGGCAACTGATTATGATTGTTAAGAAACATGGCCTGCCCCTCCCAAAAGGTCAGCCTGTTTTGTGCTCTTTTCTCTGTGGCCTGCAGCAACCTTATGTTTTCTGCCCCTTGGTTTTAACTTCCATATCTATGCTAATGACACTCATATCTATATCTCCAATCCTGGCCTCTCCATAGAGTTCCAGATCCATGTATACAATTGCCTGCTGTATACTGTCACCTAGATGTGACACAAATACCTCAAACTGGTTAGGTCCCAACTGATAGTCATCTGTCCTCTGAAGCTTGCTTTTGAATCTATATTCTCCAACTCAATGGACCATGTCACTACCCACCTACAGGTCCAAGCAAGGATCCTAGCAGGCATGGTGATTCTCCTCTGTATTGTATACCCTATAGCAAGATGACAAAAAAGCTTACTGATTCCTAAAGATCTCCTGAATTCGTTCTTGTCTTCTGCATTCTCATTGATAAGCCTAGTTTAGATTCTCATTTCTTCTCTAGACTATTACAACAGTATCTTAATTGTTCTCCTAAGCAAAACATCTCTAACTACTTTACTTTCTATACCAATACAAGACTGGCTTTGGGAGAGATACATCTCATTCACTCCTCCACTAAAAAGTTCCTTCCAATGGCATAAATGAGAAACGTGGCTCCTGAAGATCTAGTCTCACCCTTCTTCTCTCGCTTCCTTCTCTTTATGCTCCAGAGCAAGGTGTGTTACTTGCAGTTCCCCAAATTCAATGGTATCATTTCTTAGTACTTAGGATTTCAGGCTCCCTCTGTTTGGAAGGTCCTTCTCCTACTTATACTTCAAAATACAGAACAGCTACTGCAACCTCTCTGCTGCTTTTCTAATCTAACCCCACCGAAAGATAGTATTACTCACCTCTATGTAACATACATGTCTGTTTGCATGTTGCCAAAACAAAGAAATCATTCTACAGAAATTGACTTGGTCCCAGAAACTGAATTCAAAATCATTTTAAGTCTCCTGTTCTATAACTTATTTTACAAATATCCAAAATAAACCATTGGGTCTCAATGTCATTCAAGTATTTATAAAAGTTGTCAAATTGAAATGTCTTAAATTCCTTTATGCTCACCATAAAAGAGATATATGTATAATTATATTTTGAGCAGGTATTTTAAAGCTTTACTCACCCAAAGGTTGGTCAGCTGTTTGCTCTTTATTATCTATAAGAAAATAAAAATGCAAAGAAATAAGGTGTTATTATCCATTATGATACAATTATCTCCAGGGTTAGAGATACAGTGGGGCCTTGACTTACGAGTGTCCCCACTAACGAGTTTTTTGAGATACGAGCCGTCTCTCGGCCGATTTTTTGCTTTGAGCTGTGAGCTAAAATTCGGGTTACGAGCCAGCTTCAGATGCCCCACCGCTAGTTGGCGCAGCGAACGTCACAGTGAACGCCACAACATATTAATGGCATTTCAAAATATCAACAGTGGCATTAAAAGACAGAATATGGTTTCTAATAGCTAACTTATGATTTTTAAGATTCCCAGATTTTTTTTTGTATAAGTTGTTGGGTTCAGTTTGTTATCATTTTGTTGAGGATTTAAAAATATATATATATTTTATTGATTTTTTACAGAGAGGAAGAGAGAGGAATAGAGAGTTAGAAACATCGATGAGAGAGAAACATCAATTCAGCTGCCTCTTGCACACTCCCTACTGGGTATGTGCCCGCAACCAAGGTACATGCCCTTGACCAGAATCGAACCTGTGACCCTTGAGTCCTCAGGCCAACGCTCTATCCACTGAGCCAAACCAGTTAGGGCCAGAGTCCTCACTCTTACTCTGCCTGTCATCTCAGTTAATGCTTTCCCTTTGGCTGAACTTGTTTAGAAATCTATTCTGATTAAAATTGGCAAAGAGCCTAGTTGGTGTGGCTCAGTGGTTGAATGTCAACCTATGAACTAGAAGATCACGTTTCAATTCCCAGTCAGGGCACATGCCTGGGTTGTGGGCTTGATTCCCAGGGTGGGGGTGCAGGAGGCAGCCAATCAATGATTCTCTCTCATCATTGATGTTTCTCTCTCTCTCTCTCTCCCTTTCTCTTTGAAATCAATAAGAAAATAATTGGCTGAAGAAGGATGAATATTCCTGCCAACAGTCAATTTCTTAATGGTTACTGACGAACTACTTATTTATGTAATACACTAGAGGACCAGTGCACAAAAATTTGTGCACTCGGGGGACAGGGTTCCCTCAGCCTGGTCTGTGCCCTTTCGCAATTTGGGACCCCTTGGGGGATGTCCACCTGCTGGCTTAGGCCTGCTCCTTGGGAGATTGGGCCTAAGCTGGCAGTCAGACATCCCTCTGGCAGCCCGGGAGCCCTCGGGGGATGTCCATTTGCCAGCAAGGAGCAGGCCTAAGCTGCAGTCGGACATCCTAAGTGCTGCTGAGGAGGCGGGAGAGTCTCCCGCTACCACTGCTGTGCTGGCAGCTGGCAGCCTGGCTTGTGGCTGAGCAGAGTTCCCCCTGTGGGAGTGCACTGACCACCAGGGGCAGCTCCTGCATTGAGCGTCTGCCCCCTGGTGGTAAGTGTGTGTCATAGTGACCAGTCATTCCCAGTTGTTCTGCTGTTAGGGTCAATTTGCATATTACCCTATTATTATATAGGATAGAGGCCTGGTGCACAGGTGGGGGCTGGCTGGTTTGCCCTGAAGGGGGTCCCAGATCAGGGTGGGAGTCCCACTGGGGTGCCTGGCCAGCCTGGGTGAGGGGCTGAGGGCTGTTTTCAGGCTGGTCACAGCCCCTTCAGGGGGGGGGGCCCTACTGAGGTGCCTGGCCAGCCTGGGGGAGGGGCTGAGGGCCGTTTTCAGGCTGGTCACAGCCCCTTCAGGGGGGGGGGCCCTACTGAGGTGCCTGGCCAGCCTGGGGGAGGGGCTGAGGGCCGTTTTCAGGCTGGTCACAGCCCCTTCAGGGGGGGGGGCCCTACTGAGGTGCCTGGCCAGCCTGGGTGAGGGCTTGATGGCCATTTTTAGGCTGGCCACGGCTGTGGGCTGGAAGCAGGTATCTGGGATTTATTTAACTTCTATAATTGAAACATTGTAGCCTTAAGCCGAGCCCAGGCAACCAAGGCTCCCAGCCCCTCCCTGAGCTGAGGCCATGCAGGCTGGAAGCAGATATCTGGGATTTATTTATCTTCTATAATTGAAACTTTGTAGCCTTGAGCGGAGCTCAGGGCCAGCCAGGCCAGGTGGGAAACTTGGCTTCTTCCATCACCAGGAGCAATGCAAGCCTCCTGCTCGCTCTAGTTCTGTGGCTG